AGCTGTCCCCTCTGAGTTATTCGATCAGCTCACTCATAAAATCTCAATTATATTTTCATGACTCTTCAAACTGTATCGCTGGGTTCTTCCAATAAAACATATTGCTTCCATTTCATTATTTGGTTCTTTGGGCCAAATCTTTCAGCGTTGCTATTGTCACTCACTCGATGTGGGACAATGCTGTGTGCATATTGGCTGCTGTGTTTACACCACTTTACACTATATTCTGTGAAACACTTTCAGACATCTCGTCAGCTTGAGTAAGGCACTCTATTAAAGGATTGTTATTATTACTATTGCAAGCAACAGAATGCAATAACAGACATAAGGGGGTGCTTATAATAATAATAATCCTTGAGTCTGAACTAGTGTGTTACTGTGTTATTACAATGAAAACTGCTTTAAAATTCAATTACTGGCAGGTGCAATGAGTGTTTCGGAAGGCACATAGGGTGAACACAGCAAGCTTCCCACAAGCAGCCCTGAATCTGGAAGGATGTCAGCTGGAACACACAAAAGAAATCACAAGAGAGTTCTGGATGAAGAAGGCCCTTCGGTCCATTTGATCTCATCTTTCCAGGGCTGGTGTCAGGCTGAACCATCAAAAATAATAATAAAAATTCTTGTATTTGATATAGCATCTATAGGCCTGACAATGTCTCAAAGCGCTTCAAGGTTTTTGTGTAAAGTGGAATTACTTTATATTTTGTAGACAAACACGGCAGCCAACTGACACACAGTCCCACAAAGAGCAATGAGAGTGATTGACTGATTTTATCTGGAGGATTGTTGACCCGGACACCGGGAGAAACTCCCTTGCCTTTTTAAATAGTGCCACAGGATCTTTAATGTCCACCTAAGCAAACTGCACCTCACTGGAGTGTCAGCCTATCACCAATAAGGTAAGATAGACTCCAGCGCTTGATGAAGATATTTATTTTTAAAGTTTGACCCATGTAAAACTGTGATGAAAACAAATATTAAAGTATCAAATAAACCACTTTTCAAACACACAGCTAATCATACCATATCATGCATTGGAACCACTACGGTTGGGGTGGGGGGGATGGTTAGGAATGGAGGGGATAGAGATTGCGGGGTAGAGACCAGACTACACTTCAGGCCCATCGTAGGTCTCAGGAGAGAGGTAGCACTTGGTGAGATCCAGGGTAAGGTGAGAGCCTTTTGCTCCTCCTTCAGCACCATGTATTGGGATGGAGGCTTTGTTGAGAAGATGTTTAAGCATTGCTGCAGCTAGGAAACCTGAGCCTGAAGAGCAGCCTGTCAAGAGTACTGAGAGGCCAAGTTATCGATGCTCTCCGCACCTGATTTTCTGTGACGGTCAAATAAAGTTTGGACTTTGGTTATAGTTCAAGTCTGCCTTGGATTATTATAGCTCCAGCGCTTGCTACAATATCTAAAATTAATCTGTTAAACCGTTTTTGAAGGGAAACTAATCTATTAATTGGCTGCTGCGTTTTGCCCACAAAATACACAGTCGTTCCACTTTACAATATATTCTGGGAAGTGCTATCAACAGCGTGATAAGGTGCTATATCGAATCAAGAATTATTATTATTATTTAATTACTGACAACAAGTGCCTTGGAAAGTCCTCGCGACGTGAAAGGCATGCAAATGTACATTTATATTGTATTGTACTTGAAAACAGATACTTTAGTCACTTCCTTACACTGCCAGAACACAGCATCTGAAATGGAAGAAGGTTTTCATTGGCCTGTGTGCAATTTGCACTCCAAAGTTGTTGTTGTTGTATAACACTCTTAATGTGAGTTAGCATCTTAAAACGTTTAACAGTGGTGTGATTTGATGCCGAGCTGGAAAGGAAAGGTAGGTGACCGAAGGCACGGTTTACAGGTGTGATTTGAAGAAGGGCAAAGAGGAAGCAAAACAGAGGCGTAAAGTGATTTAAAACAGATCCATTCTGCAACAGGGAGGCAGTGGAGCCTGGCAAGGACTGGGGTGATAGACTTGCGCAGGTAGGTACAGGTAAGGACATTGGCAGCAGAGACTTATTATTTGGACAAAACACAAAATACTGCAGATGCTGGAATCTGAAACAAAAACAGAGAGAGCTGGGAAACTCAGCAGGTCAGGCAGCATCTATGGAGAAAGGAAAGTGAGTCAAAGTTTCGGGTCCACGACCCTTCGTCAGAACTTATTTATAGTGCAACTGGGGAGATCAGCGAGGAGTGGATTGGAACAATTAAAACGGGAGGTGACAAAAGTATGGATGAGAGTTTCACAAGAGTTTGATTGTAAATTAGGGTTGAAGTCGGGCTGCTTCATAAAGATGTTTAGCATCTTGTTAAGCCGAACAACATATATCATAGCAACTAAGTCAATATCCACAGTGCAGACTAACCAGAGGCAGAAGAAAAGATTGAAAAAAAGTAAATGGAAATAATAATGATATAATGCAAAAAGACTGATTTCACTCCTGGGAATTAATTTCCTTGTGATTTGCCCAGACCCATCCATCATTTAATTACCATACAGCTGCACATTTTTTAATTTTTCTAAGACCCACTGCTTTATTCCATTCATTTGTTTGAAATCTTCAATTCTAATATTTACAAAGCTTGACGGTAAAACAAATATTTCAAGAATATTTATGTGCTTGTTTTTGCCAATACTCCGTGCCAGTACTGTCCATTGCTCCAAGATGGATTGCGCCAAGATTTTTCATGATTGAGATATCATCAGATGCAGTCAGTATTGCCCACTCTCTCAGTCCCTGTCAATTTCTAAACATTGTTCTTCCCCCTGCCAACCGCACCCTTCAGATTTCAACCCCCCCCCCCCCCCCCCCCCCCCCGCACACTAGCTTGGGCTCCCAGTCAGCTCTGTGAAGCCCTTTGAGAAGTCCTCTCAATGTGAAAGGCACAATATAAATGTAATTTTTAAAATATGCTTTGAAATAACCCTTTCTCCTCCCACCCCTGCAGTATTTCTGAATAATGGCAGCATCCAAATCCAGCTGAAAGTCATCAGGTGCCACCATTTTGGATTCTCACTCATGTTTGATCAGCTCAATGGGAGTTAACGCAACGTACAGCCAATATGCACTTTGGTACGTCCTCCCAACGTGAAAAGCGATATATAAATCTAAATTGTTTTGTATTTCACGGAGCAGCTGTTTGATGCTCTTGTAAATGGCAATGGAGGGCCTTGCCCAATTCTAGAAACCAGACTGGACTTTAAGATATGCGCCCTCCACCATTATATAACTGGCTCTAACTTGTTGACCAGAATTTTGGAAAATTCATGAAAACCCAATTTAAGATTTTTTCCAATATTCTGTACGTTTCTGAAAAGTTTAAGACAAACGTATGCTAAGGCCAAAACCGAGACAGTGAGTCTCCAGTCTGGGCAGAGGAGAAATATAAGCTGTGGTTTCTATTCCGTATCATTGCCCAGTCAACCCCGGCTGGAAAGTGACCTTGTGGAGAGTGAGTAAGAATGGGGTTACACAATGTCCCCATCTTCTGGGCTCCCATCACAAAGAATGGCCTCTTGAGCAAGGAACTGGGTGCCAGCACCAAAAGAATTATACCACAAGATCAGGAGTTCCATGGAGTGAAGAAAATTAATGGTGGTTAGAAAGTGGGGTGTAATGGGGGTGGGGGGTGTAATGGGCATGTACTGTGAATATGTATATAATTTGGTCACTCAATCCACGAATGTGTGTGGGACAATGCTGTGCACAATTGGCTGCTGCGTGTCGTCCACAAAATATACAGTCAATTCACTCTACAGTATATCCTGTGAAGCGCTTTGAGACGCCTCAAAGACATGATAAGGTGCTATATCAAATGCAAGGATTATTATTATTAGATATACATGTACTGTGAATCTATATATACATTTCTAATTGACTTTTCAATTCAGTTTGATATTAGACCCCCCCCTCACCCCTCTTATGTCATATTAGTTGAAATCTACCCCGCGTTATAAGGTGATCCCATAAAGTGCTTTCAACAACAACAACAACAAGATTACATTTGTATAGCGCCTTTCACGTCGGGAGGTCGTCCCAAGGCGTTGGACAGTGCACAGCATTTCAGACACGAGAAGGGAGGGGAGGAGAAGGGGGGTGACCGATGGCATGGTCGAAGAGGACGGTTTTGAGGCAGGACTTGAAGGAGGCTAAGGAGGCGGTGAGATTGGGGGATGGAATTCCAGAGGTTGCAGGCAGAGTGGCTGAAAGCTCTCCTGCCAATGGTGGAGTGGGTGGGTCGGGGGACGTGGAGCAGGCCAGAGCCGGCTGAGCGGAGGGAGCGGTCGGGTTGGTAGGGTGTTAGGAGGTCACAGAGGTAGGGTGGGGCGAGGCCATGGAGGGCTTTGTATGTGACGATCAGGATCTTGAACTGGATCCTCCGAAGGATAGGAAGCCAATGGAGTCAGGTGAGAATGGGGGAGATGGAGTCACGGAGTTTGGTGCGGGAGAGGACACGGGCTGTGTATCCTGTGAAGCACTTTGAGACATCCTCCCAAATCCAAGTATCATCATTTTTATATATATATATCACAGATATAGAACCATCAAACAGTAAGAAATTTGTAGCCATATGTTGAACTTAAATTCCTATTAATTTCCTCATTGTGCAAAATAAAGGGTTGCAACCTCAAAATCAGTTCAAGTATTGCTCCATTTATGGTAAAACCACAGTCTTTCATTAAGTAATCTCCATTTGCTAACACATTAATTACACTGTCATTCCAATGCAAACTAATCCGATGCCATCCCACAAATATTTTTTTCATCCACCCGGGTGTCTGATACATTGCAGAAATCCATCGCTTTGATTAAGAGAATCCAAAACAGACTGAGAGTGAGGGCTTTCTGCATGTGTCAGACACCCAAAAAAAATCCAGCTTGTATCAAAAGTCAAATTTCTGTAATCTCTTTTTCAAGTACTCGTAAAGATTTTGACTGCAGTTCTAAATAAAAGCGTAAACTCAATACCTTTATGCCTTTCATTCCCGGCATTCCTGAATGACCTGGTTGTCCTGGAAATCCTGGCTCTCCTTCTTTCCCCTATAAAATACAGCCCAGAAATGCTCACATCACAAAACAGCTTAAACTCCCCATCAGTTATGGCATCATCTATGGCAGTAGGCCAAGAGGGCACACAGTTTTGGATTGTTAAATGGAATTTTTCACTGTCATCAGGATTGTTTTCTTTACACAAAAGATTGACAGTGAACAGTGGCCAGGACACTGGCCTCATTTAAGAAAAGGTATCATGCTGTAATGGATATTCAGCAAGAATGAAGAACAAATAGGTCAAATAGTCTGTTTCATTCAAATGTGACTTGCAAAGTATTTAATGACTCTCTTACAGTATTCTACAAATGCAAGAAATTTACTACGAAATATAGACACAATAAAAAGAATTGCTATTTATAGTGACGGAGTTATGATAGGCTCCAATATCTGCGTGAAAATAGACACTGGGGATTGAATGTTCTGGCCTCTGGATAGAGGTCGACACCAAGAGGCATAGATGGGGATCTGTGACTAGCTGTGGAGTGAAATTACAGGTCTCCAAAGTGGAGTTGGCAGCCAAGGAGTCAAGCTGCAAGTAGCTTGTACTCAGATTGTGTAACTCTGGACGTTTGAGTGGTGTCAAGTGCAGAGAAGGGAATACTGTATATTGGCCTCCATATATGTAATATGGTGGTAGGTGGGCTGTGAAACTGGAGACCTTTGGAAGTGAAGTTTTGGGTTGCATTTTTCCCTTTCTGGTATGTACTGGCTGCATTGCTCACTGTGTTCATTCAGTCTGAATATTCCCTCTGTGCTGGAAAAACAAACTTCATTAAGGAGTGCACAACACTTTGCAAGTCACTTTAGAATTATAAAATGACTTACAATGTGCAATGTGTTGTATTCACTGAATCCCTTGACAGTATGAAAATAGGGATGAATAAAGTTCAAGTACCAATTCTACTTTTTCTTTACAATATCAATACTGATAGCCTTTCACTGTCTTTGAGAATGCTTCATTCCCTCATAAATATGTGTGTCAGTCTCGTTCAATTGGTAGCACACTAGGCTCTAAGTCAGAGATTGTGGGTTCAAGCCCCATATCGGGACTTACAACCCATATTGTCCCCGAGGGTGTGCTACATTGTCGGTGGATGAGATTTTAGATTGAGGTCCCATCTGCTTTTTCAGATGGAGGTTAAAGATTCCAAGGCACTATTCAAAAAAAGAAGAGTTTCTCCTGGTGTACTGGCCAACAATCTCCCGATTAATATTGGTCAATCATTTCATGGCTGTTTGTGGGACATTGCTGTGTGCAAATTGGTTGCTGAATACCCACACTTTGATTGTAATGACTGTTTATTTTGTAGGTAATTAACAGATGCAAGTTTCCAATTACCAGAAGGAGTGAGTCTCCAATCGCACCACTTAATTCCTTATTAAGAAACTCATTAAAAAATACCGCAAAATAGATCCAACAAGATTTTTGGAACTGCTTCCTAGTCATAAAAGAATATTCTGAGTTGGGCTTTGGATATAATTAATAACAAATAACGTCACGAGAAACTATGCCAAGTCTGAGCTGTTACCTTAATACCAGAAAATCCTTGAATGCCTTGAATTCCTTGTTCACCTTTGTTGCCCTGCAGAATGCAAAAGAATGAATCAATTTAGTGTTCTCTTATTTACCTTTCCCCGCCAGCACTCATTCTAAAAGTTAGTTTATTCCCAACGCCCCAACAATCCCTCTTCCTTAGGGTTCTCCATGAACTTTATACAATTCTCCAGCCTCCAGCCTCCAGCCAAAGAGGGGCGTGGAGCAGGTGTCTCTTGTTTCTCATTTTTAATTCCAATTCTAGCCAGTGTTACACATTGACACCTTTGGCGATGTCTGGGCCCTAATGGAATTTCTCCCTCATGGAATCTCCCCCCCAGTATAATAGCATATCTCCAAAGGAATAATGCTGAACAGAATTTCAGACCAATTTACTTTTTGTGGGGGGTCAGCCAGGTGTCAGACACATTTGACAAACTGCAAATTGGATCCTATTTAACAAGATTTTCTCTTATGCTACTGCCTCAATACATCCTAAAGTATTGAGTTGAAGTTACATTTTCAATCCCATTTAAAAGCTTGTACACCTCTATCAGGCGCCCTCTGAGTCATCTTCTCTCGAGACTGAAGAGTCTTGTCTAATCATTGCTCATATGATATATATCTCATACTGAGATTAAATATCTCAGTAATCTAACACTGGCAATCATCCTTATTGCTCTCCTCTGCATCAAGTCTAGGGCCTAGACAGCCTCCTTTGGCTGTAGTAATGCAGTATTCTCTTTGACTGTGCCTTCAGCTCCTCTCTCGACTCTCTACCCCCTCCTCACTCCCTCCCTTCCCTCCCCTCACCCTGACCATTTCCCCCCAGCTCGGGTCCTGACCCAACTGTACAGCGCCTTGGGACGTCCTTCCGACGTGAAAGGCGCTCAATAAATGGAATCTTGTTGTTGTTGTTGTATTCAACGTGGGTTTGACCACAGCCCTGAATGTGACTTTTTGGGATCTAAATTCAACTGATTTAACAATATAGCCCAGCATCCTGTTTGCCTTGCTTGTTATCACCTCATTCTGTTTTGAGCGGCATGTCAATTGACACTCACCAAACTCTTTCAGCTTCCCCATAAGAAGGCACTGTAAAAAGTAAGGCAGTTTCTTGGAGAATGCTGGTTCTATGACCTACTCTGTAATCCTTGGCTGAAGTAGCTCAGCAGTTTCAATGATTAGATTTCAGGCCATGCTTGATGTTATCGCGAATCAGGCAGAGTTTCAAGATACAACTGTTGCTCCAGAGAATCAAATATAGTAACTTCCACTGTCAGCATTCCAGGCTCTATCAAGCACACCGGAAACTTAACTCGGTGGGTCTTAGTCACGTAACAGTCATAATAATAAGTTACATTTATATCTGTGTTTGCTTGGCTCATGTGTTGGCATTATTGCCTCTGAGTCAGAAGGATGTAGGTTCAAGCCAGCCTCACATCATGGACCTGGAACTCACAGACTAGCCTGACACTCCAGTGCAGGGCTGGAGTACTGGGGGTGCCCTGCATTGTCAGAGGTTTGCATAGATTTACACAGATTGCTCAGTACGGAAACAGGCCATTCAGCCCAATGGAGACTTATGTGGAGAATTAATACCAACACTTGTCCGTGCCGGCATTTATTCTCCACATGAATCACCGCCCACTCCTCCAAACCCCATCTATCCCCTACTCCCTCAGGTATATATCTTGCTTCTTCATAAATGCATCTATTCTACACAGGTATATACTATCTGATTCAACCACCGAGCGAGGGAGAACATTCCACATCGTCACTACCCTCTGCGTGAAGAAGTTCTGCCTAAATTCCTTTTTACATACCCTCGTTGCTATCTTATACTTGTGTTCTCTGCTTATGGATTTCCCCAATTAGGGTTGACTAACAATGCCCCAGATAAATTTGGTCTCTCACTCCATGGCTGTTTGTTGGGTACTGCTGTGAGAAAACTGGCTGCTACATTTACCTACAAAATATACAGTGTCACTACACGTTACAGTAAAGAACAACAAACACCCACAAAGCATTATTGAAGAAGAAGGATGAAAGGGACATAAGGGTTCACCAGCAGAAGACTCTCCTCATGAGGACTATGTTGATGGGAGAGAGCATTTGAGGCCAGATATTTCCTGGCATTAGTCAGCCTGGCAGTGGATTTATGGATTACTGATGGGAATATTGATACCAGATTTGTGTCTCATCACACAGCAGTAGCAAGAAGCAAACATTGTTAACACTGCCAAAATATAGCCTGAAATAATGATAGAAAAATATCAACCATAAACCCGCAGGATTAAAGGAACATTTCAAAATATTCCACATCGACATCTCAGGAAAAATTACGATTTTTATTTTTCTACATAAAACTTGTCAGTGGAAAGAGCAAAAGATGGGAATAGTTTTCAGGACCAGCCAGATGGACTGTAATGGCATTTTCCAGTCCCTTGGGTTCCTATTTTCCGATATACCAAATCGAACTCCAATCCCCCCCAGGGCCTATAAATTTGGTTCTTCTTCGAGGGAACGCATAAAATGAGAATAACAGGAGCAAGCACCAGATGAAACGAGGAAAGATAGATTGCCATTTGCTTTCTTTTTTTTGTGGGGGGTCAGCCGGGTGTCTGACACATGCGGAAGCCCATCACCGTGCTTAAGAGTATCCAAATGAAGCTGAGAATTCCACGCATCCCACCCACACGTAGAAATTCCAGAGACAGATTGTTGGAATGGAATGCGCACTCTCTCCCTGGAGGGACACATCCTGTTTACCTAATTCCGGAAAGTATTAGACGCATGTTGGCAAGAGTCAAGGCTTGCGGATTTACTCTCTGTACTTTCGTTAGTCTCTCCCACTAATCTGAATAATCTTCCTCTTCCCACTTCACCCACAAAATACGCAGTTACACCACTTTACAGAATATCCTATGAATCGCTTTGAGACAACTCATGTGATAAGGCGCTATCCAAGTCCAAATTTCCAAATCCAAGGATTATTACACCTTCCCCACTCTTCCCGAGATAGGATCCAGGAATGGCAGAGCCCAGGGAATTTTCAAATGGGCTTTGTCCCTTACCATTTTTCAGAAATCAGGAGGGGGTGGGCTTGAGCGGTACTGAGAAACTTAAAGAGAATTGAATGTTTAAAATGCAGAGGAATACTGCAGTTTCAATACCACTTTCAAACCTCACACACACGGCTAATCCTTCGCTTAAAAAATACACAGCCACTACATATTGCAGTTAATCCTGTAAAGCAGTTTGAGGCTTCATCCCGACGTTAAGAGACACTATATCAGATTATTATAATGAATTATACACTGATACTAAATATGTGCATGCGTGTTTGGGAAATGCTCAGGAATTGCTGATCAACAGTGCATCAGCGAAACACATTATGAAGTAAATACCACAAGCACTCTGATGGCCTGTAGTCACCTCAATCTTCACAACAAATCCAAAATGAAATCAATTCAACATCCAAAGATAAAAGAATATCCATGGTGTCTGGGCAAATTGCCACATTCTGGGGTATTTCACAATGACTTTTTGGCTGTAGAAAATCAAAGTGTTCGCCCTCAGCCACTAATTGACTGAAGCATTGTTAGGATCTGTATATGCCATCATGATGTCAAATGGCACATTTTTAACTCCATAGAATTGCTATACTTCATGGTAAACTCTTGTGAAATGCTTTGAAGTGTCTCGACAAAGTGAACAGACATTATATCAAATGCAAGTATTACTGTAGTGACTAACCAGTTCACTGAGACTCATTCTCACAGATAATGCTGTCACATAAATCCAGATGTTACTCAAAGGCAAAAAAGGCTTTTTATTGCTATAATCAAGAGCTGAAGTGTACATAATACACATTTATAGAAGGGTTCACACAGCGCCACAGCACAGAAATAGCCTTTTCGGCCCATCAATTGTACTTGTGTTTTTCCCCACATGAGCCGTCTGGTCCAGTTGCACTTTCCTGCTCACTCCTGTCACCTACTTTAAGTTTCCTCCTTTTCAAGCATCTATCTCAATCCCTCCTAAAAAGAAATCAAGGACTTTGACTCAACAACGGTTTGTGACACAGAATTTCACATTCCACCCATCCTCTGCGTAAATAGTTTTTCTTATATGCTTCCTCCCCATTTTAATTCAATTTGTAATGAATTTATTAAAGATATGTCTACAATAACTCAGCTTGTTAGCTGCTGAGATTAAAATTGAATCCCCAGACCATACCAGGAACATCTTTTCACATCTGCTATTGTAGTATCGTACAATAACCTCGTTAAAAAGCCCCAGAGCCCTTCCTTAAACGTGTCTTTTGTACACTCCAACTTTTGATTACAGCAATAAAAAGCCTTTTTTGCCTTTGAGTAACATCTGGATTTATGTGACAGCATTATCAGTGAGAATGAGTCTCACTGAAGTGGGTTAGTCACTACAGAAATACTTGCATTTGATATAATGCCTTTTCATGTCGTTGAGACATTTAAAAGCTTTTCACAGAATTTTACCATGATGTGTAGTAATTGTATATTTGTCTTTAAATGTGGTAGATGATTTCCACAGAGCAATGTCCCACAAATAGCCATAAAATGAATGACCAATTTTATTTGGGGTATTCTTGGCCAGGACATTGGGAGAAACTCCCTTTTTTTTCAAATAATACCACGCAATCTTTAACTTCCACTTGAACAGGAAGACAAGACCTCTGACAATGCAGCTCCCCAATATTGGAGAGTTGGCCTAGATTGTGAACTCAAAGTCAGTAAACATCGCAGCTCTAATGAATATACACATAAATTCTTCCTTATGTCAAGCCAGTCTGTTTCAGAAATCATCAAAGAATTCATCCGTTTTTTCGTTCAAAATGCTTTAACTTTTTTTCCCTTTCTGTAATGGATAAATAATCCTTGCATTTGATATCACATCTTCTAGAGTCTCAAAGCGCTTCACAAAATATACTGTAAAGTGAATTGACCGTATATTTTGTAAGCGAAACTCGGCAGCCAATTGCACACAGCAGTTGGATATATTATTCTG